GTATGTAACTTTAATTTAATTAATTAATTTAACTAACACAATCTTATACTAGTACTTTAAATTAGCTTGTTTCATTTTCGACTCAGGTGTCGAGTTTGATTTGACAGAAATTACTGAAAGAGCCCATATATAGATTATTTAGAACACGAAGCCTATCCCGTTTCGTCCAGAATCCATATGGAAGATTTCAGAACAATTTTATAGTGTTAAGAATATTTTCACTTACCATCAAGGGTGTCTTTCCACCGAAACTATTTCAATGTTCTGAACATAGACGAATACAACAGTTCTTAACATTTGATTTTAAAACCTGAAAATAAGGAATCTCCATTTTTTAAGTGTATGTTCTAACAAAATAAATAAAATAAAATTTACCATCTTTAAATTAATTACAACATATTGAGGCATACATGTGTATTTCAGCATTTACTGTATTACCAAAGCATTGAACAGCAATGGGAGGGGTCGCTGCAACCCATTTTGATAAGGAATGGGGCAGTGGCCCCACCTCTGGCGTTAAACACAAGTTAATCTCTGTTGCTAACACTTGTACAGTAACACTTCAGGATTTGTTCCTTATGTCATTCGTATCATATTCTATACCATTCCAGAATGGTTAAACTAGGTTTAGTTATGGTATATTTTAGAGATTATATGTATAAAATTACTGTTGGACATAACGTGTAGTATGGATGGTGCATTATTGTGCTGATAAAAAGAAGTGTGGTCCTTCTTCATAGGATCCAAAGAATGCAGACGTTACCACAGGTAATTTACATCGTCTTTAATCAGTACCGGCCCGACATGGCCAGATGGTTAGGACACTCGACTCGCAATGTGAGGGTCGCGGGTTCGAGTCCCCGTCCCACCAAAATATGCTCGCCCTTTCAGCCATGGGAGCGTTATAATGTGACGGTCAATCCCACTATTCGTTGGTAAAAAGAGTATCCCAAGAGTTGGCGGTGGATGGTGATGACCAGCTGCCTTCCCTCTAGTCTTACACTGCTAAATTAGGGACGGCTAGCGCAGATAGCCCTTGTGCAGCTTTGCGCGAAATTAACAAAAAAACAATTAATTAGTACAAGTGGACCAGTTATAAACTAGTCTAAATCAAACTACACTGCAACTTTGCTCCACTGTTTTTTCAATGTTGAAACTTAGGGTCACGTCCAATGTATTCTCAACACTGCTATCAAATTGGCCTTTACCTTTGCAGCACACAATGATTTCCGAGGATAATCGTTTCATGTGATAGTCTTCCACTGTTATTTACCACGATTTGATGCTCGAGACAGCTTGTGTTCACGGCTCTATTAAGTGGCTTAGGTGCCGAATCTCGCCAATAATACCCATTTAACATGGAATCCTCGGCACTTAACGGATGCGTTGGCCTTTAGTCTGGAATCCTCATTGAAATAATTAGTCTTGGATTCAGAGTTTCATGTGTGGGATCTTGGCTTCAATCGGCTTGTTGCCGTAGCTGCTTGTAAGTATAAGCTCTACGCAATGCAGAAGTAAATATCTAATAATTTCCCAATATCTATGGTAACTATAAATATTTATACTTAAAGAACAAGCCATTACTTACTAATTTTTAAAAATATTGTGTGATACGTTTATGGCTCAGCGGTCATCTTGAGCGCTTACGCGCTAAAGATCGAGTTTAGATACCCGAGGTGGGTACAGTACAGATAGCTTATTGTCAGAGGTGGGGTGGGGTGGGAAAGCGTGGGCATGGCGTACCTGTACTTTTTCTTTAACCGGAACGCCTTACTGCCACTATTTCGAACGAATCACACCTTACACAGTTAGTTCGCGTTCTGGCACTTCTGTATTTAGCCCTACACCACTGCCTGTTGTGTGTCTTTGCGTTTAAACACAAATAACTAAAAAATATGTTGTTAATAAATGTGACAACTCCAGGTAAAAGTTGTACATTTTTAATATTTACAATTAAATGTTTGCGTTAGGTTACCCACCAAGAGAGATTTACCAGCTGTCCTCGGATCTTCCAAAACCGAAACACATTGCTCCAGTCGGGATCATTCTGGAGACAGCGACTCTTATCCTGGCTCATCGGTAGGATATCTACCTCGTACCCTGTTTCTTTCCACATGCTGATTCATCCTAGATCTGTAATGATTCCAGCCAGAATCGTTTAAAAAAAATTATAATTTCTATTAGGATGTTATCGTTAACATACAACTGATTTATTTGTTTAATATTAGCTTAATTTTAACAGCTATGAAGTGTTAACAATCTATTTAAGTATATATTGCAGTTATAGTTTCTGTTCAGGCACATTATGCTACTGTATTAAGAGTTAAAAACAAAAACGATGTTTTTCGGCATAATGAAAGATAAAACGTTTAATAGATAATTTAGACGACTAGTTTCGATAGCACTAGTCCCGATGGTGGTAACTGTTACCGAAACTAGTCAGCTGAAATATCTAATAAATATTTTTTCTTTCACTGTGCCCTAAAAAATGTTTGTTTTTTTTACTTTTAATATACTGCTGTTGTTACATTTAGCTGTCACTCCTACTTTAATGATACAGTGCTTCATAATCTCTCTCTTTCTGTGTTTAAACAGATACAGTTTGTCTTACGACGTTATTGCCAATGGACTACCGAAAATTGATACATCTAAAACATCTGTAAATGATATCTGCCCTGTTTTCTTGAAGCCCGTCAAATGCGAGCTGACCCGTTATCGAACCCTAACTGGCATGTGTAACAACTTAGAGAATCCCTCGTGGGGTAGTGCGAGGTCAGCGATGTTGAGATATATAACCCCAGCTTATAACGATGGTACGTGTTGGTTTGTGCATTTAATCACCATTAGTTAGATAGATAGATTACCGTGGTATGCTAATCATAGTTGTGTCCACTACAGGTATTTCCAGTCCAAGGCGTGCCGTTCATGGATCAGAATTGCCCATTGCTCGTGCAGTCAGTTTTTTTATGCACCATGACGCCAGCCAGCATGATCAAGCATTAACTAATATCATGGTTGCCTGGGGTCAGATGATTGATCACGACTTGACCTTTGCTTCCCCTACTTTGGGTAAGTCGTCATTCCACTTGTGTTTTTGCTTTTCAAATTGAAAAAAAAGATGAAGAAATAAAATGGAGCCGTGATTCCCTCATAAAAGTAATTTGGCTCATGGATCATTACGTTTTGAGATGTTAAATCAGTGGCTCATGAACCATTGAATTTTGTGTTGTTAAATCAGCTGTGTTAATGAATCCTAATATTTAATGATAATGCTGTCCTCAGTTAATTTTAATATAGACTTGGCTACCTGTTAATTTCACCAAGTCTTAATATAAGCATAGTAACCCGTTATCCTCAAGCTACTAGTCTTAATATAGACTTGACTACCTGTTATCTTCACCTAATCTCAACATAATCTTCACTACCTGTTATCTTCACCTAATCTCAACATAAGCCTAACTACCTTTTATCTTCACCTAATCTCAACATAAGCCTGACTACCTGTTAATTTCACCAAGTCTTAATATAAGCATAGTAACCCGTTATCCTCAAGCTACTAGTCTTAATATAGACTTGACTCAGATTGTCAAGCTTATCTTAAAACTGGGTAATGATAACAGGTAGCCAGGCTTATATTAAGAGTGGGTAAAGATAACAGGTAGCCAGGCTTATATTAAGAGTGGGTAAAGATAACAGGTAGCCAGGCTTATATTAAGAGTGGGTAAAGATAACAGGTAGTCAGGCTTATGTTGAGACCGGGTGAAGATAACAGGTAGTCAGGCTTATGTTGAGATTAGGTGAAGATAAAAGGTAGCTAGGCTTATGTTGAGATTAGGTAAAGATAACAGTTTTATTCGTAGCTAGTCTTAATGTTAACCCAGATACCTGTCATGAAATTGTACATTATTCATTTACATTTAATATAAAAGCATAAAAGATGTTGACCAGCCTGAAAGAGGTTATACAAAATTGCGCAAAATCATATATTATAAAGTGGGTGAAAAATTCAGAGAAATGCAAAGATACAGTTCATTATTGGTTTTATCCAAATCATTTTAAAGTTATAAACGGTATATTCCTTCTACAACATCCCACATAGTTTCTGTAATCAGTCCAACCGAAGTGACTGTTGTAAACTCGTTCACTACAGCTAAACTGAACTGTTAATAACTTGTGGTTTCATTTATATATAACAATTCAACCAATAACAAAACGTACACTATATTAACAAGAAGTACTGGGACAGAGTATGCTTAAAATGGCGCTTGTCATATTTTGTCACTGGAAGATGTCCACTGTATTACGAGAAGTATTGGGACAGTGTAAGTTTAAAATGGTACATGTCATGTTTTGTCACTGGAAGATGTCCAATGTATTACCAAAAATATTGGGACAATGTAAGTTTAAAATGGTGCGTGTCATGTTTCATTTTTGATATGGAGTGGTCATACGAATATTGAAGTACATTGATAATTATTTTGTAAAGCAGCTAAAAAAGTAATATTTTCGAATTCCATTACTTGTGTCCCAGCAGCGTTTCAAAGTTACCCGAAGAGATTCCGATGTGCTGTTTGTAACATACTATGTATGTTGTTTGTCTCAGATCACTGCAGAACATTACAAGCGAGATGACGTGGCACCTCATCAAGCCGAAAGAGGCATGGTCTTTCTTCATACAATACCCTTGTGATGAGTAACGTATGAGCCTTTACACAGTAAATGTGTTAAGCTTGCCCCTCTTTTGTATTTTTGTATACACAATACTGTGTATGCTACTTAAATTAACGAGAGAAAAAAAAAACTTTTAGAGAACAAAATATTAGTGCAAAGACTAAGAAATTAGTTTAGACACTTTGATGTGTCATTTTAATTCCTACAAAAAATAACTGTAGGACTGAAGAGGTCACGTGAAAGTATCGAAACTAGTTCCTAATCTTTGAACTAATATTTTGTTCCAAAATTTTTTTTTTCGTTAATGAATCTGTGACCTGTAGTTTTGGAACAATACATCCCAAGTTGTAGCAATGGGCCCCTCTCTACTAACAAATTATGTGAATCTCACAGATTGTAGCCTTAAGCTCTTTCCCTCCTGTCATTTTGACTACTAGAGGTAACTAATGATATTTATAATCCTGAATTATCCGTGGGGACGGGACCGTTGCTGTAGTTTAATGGATAAAGATGTATACATTTCTTTGTAGATTTGTTTGTTTCCCCGAAAGGTGACCGAAGGTCGACTGAAGGGGGGGGGGGTCACCTGTTTTAACCACTCGCACCACTATACTGTAGTGTGTTGTCTGTCAGTTAGTCAGTAGACAGTAAAATTACGTCACATAAGGGATGCTTAACGTTGCAATTTGTACTGTCGTGACGTCAGTAAAACGTGTGCATGCCATGAATCACGAGAAGAATTATGCACTCTGTAGGCTACAACACAACATGACATATGAACTTAAAAAGCAAGAAACGAAAATATTTATTACTCTTAATTTAGGTTTTATTTACTCTTGAAACAGAACACTTTCGGGGACCCTGCGAAAATACATCCAATTAATCTTTCTACGTTGTCATAATATAGGCTCTTCTCAACCTCATTTTTTATTTTGGAAAAACAATTAAAAGCTTTACAATCGCAATTAAGCTTTTGTGAGATGTACAAGTACAAAAATAATGAATTTTGGAAGTGGTTCCATAAATTACAAGGCTGACACAAAGAGGTGTTGATATATACCCCACCCCCACCCTCTCTCTTCATAGTGTCTCAGCGGTGAGTTTGAGGGCTTATAATAAAAAACGTCGATCATGGACACGGTACAAATAGCCCATTGTACAGCCTTACGCTTAACAATAAACAAACAGAAGAAATACAAATACAAATAAAAAACCTTCAGAATGAATGCATTACGAGGTCAACGGTTACAGGGTAAAAATTTCGACGTACTGCCAAACATTTTCTCATTCTGCTTTTTACATTCTTCGATTGGGCAAGATAGTGTCGGATCTCAAGGACTCGTCTAATCTTAGAAAGAAAGCCTTTCAACGCCCATAGCACAGTTTCATTCAAATATTAGTTCGCAAGTTGCATTGAACAAATAATTGATTATTTATTGTCCGTGACACAGTAACTGATTACATGCAACTGTTTGTGGAAAAGCAAAATTCGATTATATTCAGTTTTCCAGAGTTACCAGGTAAATGATTAGATGTGGCGATATCATTTAAAATCTTGGAATTTTAATATTTACAGCCCTTAATATCTTGGAGTTCGTGTTGTAACCAGTAAACGTCGTAGCCTTTACCTTATGTACATGTTGCCTTCGTAATAACGAATAATTATTACAAAAGAATAACAGGTCATATACAACAGCAGGGCGTGGTCGTAGCTTTTTAGACATTGTTGTAATTAAAAAATACGGGTCATTGAAATTCTTTATTATTTTAAGACAAACTATTACTGCTTAACCATTACATGCACTTACCATTGTTTAGCTAGTGTCTAATTGAATTTAAATTAGTTTGGATATGGGTCTGTTTATTAACTAGAATGTAAATTTCAATAGAGTTCTTGAGATCAAACGATTTTCTCCAGAAAAAAAAAAAATCGCTAAGTATGGGCCTTAGCTATAGTTTATTTTATTATACAGTATTATAATTTAATGTAAGTTTTGTTCTCTGTTCATCCGTTTTTCAACAAAAAAAAATCTGTTACACACTAAACTATTACCTTATTTTTGTTGTGCTTTTCTTAGTGCAAAGCTACACAATGTACTATCTTCACTCTGTCCACCGCAGGGCATCAAACCCCAGATTTTTGCGTAAGTCCGTAAACTTACCACTGACCCACCGAGGGACGATTATTTTTGTAACATGTACTTTTTCAAAAATGTTGGCCCGGTATGGCCAGGTGGTTAGAGCGCTCGACTCGCAATCTGAGGGTCGTGGGTTCGAATCACCGTCCCACCAAATATGCTCGCCCTTTCAGTCGTGGGTGCGTTATAATGTGACGGTCAAGCCCACTATTCCTTGGTAAAGGAGTAATCCAAGAGTTGGCGTTGGGTGGTGATGACTAGCTGCCTTCCCTCTAGTCTTTCACTGCTAAATTAGAGACGGCTAGCGCAGATAGCCCTCGTGTAGCCTTCCGCAAAATTCAAAACAAACCAAAACCAAAAAATGTTACTAAACATTTCGCAATAGATTCGTTATGATCAATATTTCACCCAATCACAACACACTGTTCTACCAGGATGCCGAGGGTTACCATCCTCGAACTGTGTGAAACTGCAAAATCTCTGCCCGCACTTTGAGGCCATGGGTGCGCTAAAAGAGTGGCGGTCAAATCCCTTTATTTGATTGAATATGCTTTCGCAAATATCCGAGAGCAAACAAACAGTTGAAATTTCGTGCAAAACTAAACCTGAGTTATCTGCATATAACCGCCCCTAGATTTGAGTTCATAAACTAAATGGTGGCCCGGCATGGCCAGGTGGTTAGGGCGCTCGACTCGCAACCTGCGGGTTCGAATCCCAGTCACACCAAACATGCTCGACTTTGCAGCCGTGGGAGTGCTATAATGTGACGGTCAATTCCACTATTCCTTAGTAAAAAGAGTAGCCCAAGATTTGGCAGTGGGTGGTGATGACTAGCTGCCTTCCCTCTAGTCTTACACTGCTAAATTAGGGACGGCTAGCGCAGATATCCCTCGTGTAGCATTGCGCAAAATTCATAACAAACCAAACGAAACCAAACTAAATGGAATTAGATTCTCAATAGCACCCACCACCAACTTGTGTGGTGCTCTTTTCTGACCGAATAGTTGGATTTGGTCGTCACCCTCACAACGACATACATCCCCTAAGTGCAGAGCGCGATTTCGTTTGGAATTTTTTGTGTTAACGCATACGCGAACAAACTTTTGAAACAAACAAACGCAGCTAAACAGGGCTACACTGAACAGGACCTATAAAAAACAAAACAATGGGATTGGTGAATCTTTTTTTTGACTTGTCATATAGTAATCTAAGTTAAATTAGTTGTGTGAATAATATATTGCTATTGCGCCAAATTTATTATTAGGTTAGTATATAGTAGGACAATATTTCAATGATTACATTACAGAATTGTTATCTTTCTTTTCACCAAAAGTATGAACGAAAATATAATCTGTGACGTAGAAACCTAATGTATTCTTTGACTCACTACATCCTGTGCTGAAGACTGCAATTTCGCCTTTTCAAGACTCATCAGCGTAGCTTGGGTCAGCAAACCAAAGAAATGCAGTTAGGCCTCTTATAATGGTGATATAATGGGGGTTTTGGATCATTTTTTAGCCCTTTCATATTAAAGCAGTGACAATTAAAAACAAAATGTTGTCTGGTCTCCATTTCACATTTATTAACCATCAGGTGACCCCAGAATAGTAGCAGTAACGTATTTGTTTTCAGAATATTTTTATTCAAACTATCTATATCTCACCAATTCCTAGGCCTCTCGAAACACAGATGATGTTCGTAAGAACATATTGGACATCAGAAAGATAAGCGCTAAATAGTCTGATAATATGATACGGATAGTCTGATAATATGATGTGAATTAAAAGTAAATAAAGTAACACTGTAATAGAAATTATAATTAGCCTAAGACAAAGCCCCCCGCTGGGACAGCGGTAAGTCTCCGGATTTACAACTCTAAAATCAGGGGTTTGATTCCCCTCGGTGGACACAGCAGATAGCCCGACGTGGCTTTGCTATAAGAAAACACAAACACTCACACATAGAACATAAAATTGACAAATATGCGAATTTTGAGCATGCACAATTTTTTTTTTTTTGAGCTGCATGAACACATTTTTAATTAAACATGGTCTCACTCGATCGATCACACAAATCTCAAAGTTTGTTGTAGATAAAATAGTGCACAAATGTAGGTTTGTTGTACTTGAACGTAAAACCTTAAGCATGTTACCTTTACAGCATTAGTCATGATTCAAACCTTTATTCCCGACTCTTCGAAACTGGATCAAGGACAAACATTATGGAAAACTGTTTGTCTCAAGGTTTAATAGAACATAAACCTACCAGAAATTAATGACGAGAGATATCTAAAGATAAAGTTGTTTTATATTTGAAACACGTTTCCAGCGTCCATTGTTTACTGCGTATTGTTTAATACCGAAATCCTGTAACCATAAACAGCATCCTTGTGTCCAAGCTAAATTTGCTTTAATCTAACATCAGTTATTTGTTTATCGTCATAGCAAGGTCAGCTCGTAAGACTTAATTGGGTGAGCGTTGTAAGAAGTTAATGTATATGGGGAAAAAAAAACCTAGATATGAATCATAATATAGAAAGATGTTATTAAAGTCATATATTACATTCTACAGTCAGAAATACCTAAGTGTACTCTAGAATCTAGATAACTGGTTTCTTTTTGTGCACCTTTAGTTTTGTTTTGTTTATTGCCAATTACAAAGCTTCACAATGGGCTTTCTGTACTGTTCGTACTGATCGAGCCCCGAAGTTTAGCAACATAAGCCCTTGAAATTATCGATGAGCCACTGGGAGGGGGAGGGCACAGTTAAAGTTGTTTTGGTTGTTTACTTGAAGTTAAGCACAAAGCCACACAATGGGCTATCTGTGCTCTGCCCACCACGGGTATCGAAACCCG